GCTGTGTACTGAGATGAAGTTCACATTGATTAGAATTTTAAAATTATTTTACTCTTCACAATGCTTTGCACAGAATAGGTGCTAAATAAAAACTATGTGGTTGTTCAATAGATGTCACCAAATTCTTAACTCCTCCCAAGCTGATAGTTTTGAAACCAAATGTGCTGGTATAGAGTTAGTATACTTTTGCAGAGGAAGAAAATAGCCAAAACAAATATAGTGCTGTTACCATAAAAGGAAAATCAATATTTTAGACCTTAAATAAAAGGAAGTGTTTGACATGTGTGGACTTTTTTTAAACAAGGACACAGGGACCCAGACAGGGTTGGCTGAATATTTGTGTTGCTCTCAGTTTATAGACACAGCTGAAGCCCAGTGAAAGTATTTTGAATATACAAGATATTTTCAAAGATGTTTTGAGTGCACAAGAGACAAGATGAAGAAGACAAGTTTGTTTTTAATGAAAAAAGCAAAAAATAGATACAATTCAACTATAAAGGGAGAATTCAAAATTTAGATGTGGCTTAATAAAGTGGAACCAGATAAATCTTAACAAAGGTCTTGGAAAATCCAGGGCCTCAGTCTAGAAAGAAAGAATAACTGCTTACTGAAGCAGAACTGAGTAAGTGAAGACATATGGAATAAATTTCCAAGCAAAGCCCCCAAATCCGGTAATATAAATGAGTTCAAGAAATAACAGTACACTTTAACAAAGAAAGTTGAGATCAAAAGACGTAGCAATAAAGTTAATAAAAAAAAAACTGAGATAACTAGATAAGAGCAGATTTTGGGTCAAATTGTCCATTTGTGCCTAGGTATTTCTTTATTTTTATCATAGCATACTGTAGTTTGAAGGTGCCTTCAGATATATAAATGAGACCCTTGGGCTTTGCAAGCAAACTTTTTGTGCTACCTGAAGCTCCTGATTGTGATTAGGAATGTTTCCTTCATCTGGCCCCCACACTCTTGTCATACTTAGAAAATGGTTCCTGCAAGTAAGTGGTAAAATAGAGCAATTATCATGTTCATCCATGTCTCCTGGTACCTTATTCAGGAAGGCAGATGGCTAGGCAAAACTATTACCCAGAAGTATAGACCAAGAAGTATAAACGTCTCTTAAGATGATGGCCATGGTGACAGTAGGGTCAAGTGAATAGTTAAACAAAAAAACAAAGTGGCAATTTTATAGATCACCATCTACCCTCAAAACCGTTGCATTCATAATATTCTGCCCAACGACATATTTGTCACATAAACAAAAGGCTGTTGTTCCCAATGTTTGCCCTCAAGTTGTTAGTTAGCTGCTGACCTCATAATCTGCACAGCTGTGGCATCCCAATATGTTGTCATGAAACAGATTGTGATGTCTTAATTGATCACTTTTAGAGGTTACAATTGTCAAGTGAGACCAGTATGCTGATTCTTATTAGTTAAATTAAGCCTTGTTACAGCAAAACTGGCTAATTCATTATAATGAATAGGAAATTCAGTGTAACTTACTGCATTTTATAGATTCGAACATATCCAAGGCTTTTTCTTTTTCTTCTTTTTGATTGTTTAAATTCGTGGAGGCTGTACCCCAACCATGCTTTTATTATACAATGAAGCAACTTAGAATAGTAAATGGAATGTAACCCCCCGCACCATATACATCTTGGTGATAAGTTGGAGTATGCCATATGACACACACAATTTAAATCAGGCATTGATGTGCATGACTCTAAGTGAATTGGAGGACTCAGCTAAGAGTAGTGGATGTCAGGCTCTGCTGCAAATCGTCTGGCAAGAAGAATATTATGTTCTTCTCTATTGTGTAAAAGAACGTAGGCTCCTAAGAGGATGAGGAAGGGTCTTAAATCAATGCCTGACCCCAAAGCACACCTCCTTGTGCCTCCATTTTGGTCATTGGTGAAGTCTTCGCTATGGCACTAATCTATAAAACTCTCTTTTCCAAGTGTCCCAATACACTCACTCACTTTGTATGGACTTATTCTCATCTGATGCCTGGACCACCTGCTACTCATGTTAGTTGAGAAACCTTACTGTGACAGGGGTGATAAATAGTCCTTTTAATAGCAGAGTTTTAAGACAACTCATACATGGGCCTTTGTGCATTCTGCAAGTCAAGTTTTTTTCAAAAGTTTTATCTTTGACATTTCAAATAAACAGATGCCTTTGTCAGTCTAGCACATTTTATAGGAGTACAAATAAAAATGAAATAAAAGAAACTAATTTAAGTTAATGTAATAACTATTAGCATCCAAAATGCAGGAGGAAGCACAAGGATGTTTATCAAAGCACTTTTTTATAGTAGAAAAAAACAGATAATAGCTAAATGCCCAGCAGTAGACAAATTGGTACATATGGTATATCCATATAATGGAATCTTGAGCAGGCATTAAAACTATCTCTAAGGGCTGACATGGGAAAGGTTGATGATTTTCAATTAATGGTTTCTCATTAAGTAAGAAACCAAAGTGGCCAAATTATGTAAAGGGCATTTCTCAACCTGTCTAAAATAATATCTGTAGAAAGGAAAAAAATGACAAAAATAGGTGTAGTGTTATTGAATGATGAGAATATGGAGAGTTTTTTTAAATCATTTTATCCATTTTTTTTTTAGTGTTTTGAGTTTCCCATATTACTTTACTAATTAGGGGGAAAAAGTTCTTGAAGCAGTTTGAGTAGCTTGTTATAACATTTGACTTAAGAGTCTGTGTTCAGGCACCTCAAATCTAAATGGTCTGAAAATGAGCTCCTGATCTTCCTCCCAGATCCTGCTCTCCTAAAGGCTTCTTTCCTTCTCAGTTGAAGGAAATTTCAGCCTTCCAGTTGCTTAGGCTGAAAACCTGGAGCTAACTGTCCGTGACTCCTGTCTTTCTCTTACATCCCACCTTCAATCTATGGTCAATTCAATAGGCTGTACCTTCAGAATATTTCCAGAACATAAGCAGCTTCTCTCCATCTCCTTTGCTACTCAGTGTGGCCCACATCACTATCCTCTCTTGCTGGGATTGTAGCAGCAGCCTAATCCCCCGCTTCCACCCTGGCCTCCTTTTTATCAACTTTCCACACAGCTGCCAAAGCTGTTACAACTCAGTTCAGTCATTCCTCTGTCCAGAGCCCTTCAATGGCGCTTCATCTCACACAAAGTGAAAGGCCCTAAGTGATTTCTAACCTGCTGTCTGTCTGGCCTTAGTACCTACTTGGCTCTCCCCACTGGCTCTGCCAGGCTACATTGCTCTTCCTATTATTCCTTTCCTACCTCAGGGTATTTGCATTGGTTTTTGCATTTTCTCTGCAGGAATGCTTTTTTCCTAAATATGCTCATGACCAACTCTTTCACTTCATTCAAGTCTTTCCTCAAATATTATTTTCTCAGCAAGGTCTTTTTCTGATTACTCCACCAACTCTCTCTCTCTCTGTCACACACACACACACAGACACACACACACACTTGCACACACATACCTCCTAACCTCCTTTCCTGCTTTAATTTTCTCTATTTAGTACTTAGCCAAATTTAACATATTACATGGTATGATAGTTTATTTATTGCCTTTCTCCTGTGCCCAACTTGCATATAAGCTCTATGAGAACAGGAATTTTTGTTTATAGTTTTCACTGCTGAACTCTAACCCCTGGAACTGTACCTGAAACATCGTAGGTGCTCTGTGACTGCTGTGAGTGCCTACCGTGGATAGGAACAATGATGTTACAGCTGTATGATGACTAACTGGTTGATTTTTATGCAGTAGCTTATCTCTCAATGTAATTATTTTAATTCAATTGCTTTCACTTCCTAACTTAACCAATTGAACCTTTAATGTATTTCAGGGACTAATGGGGGAATGAGGTTAAAATGAAGAAGATAGACATTGTTCTGACATAGTTTACTGTCTAGTGGACAGACATAATCCAACACAATACATAAAACAAGGACAGTACCCAGTTGAGAGAGGCTACTCACCAACAGGCACAATAAAAATTCAAGATCGAATGTCAGATACAAAATGTGGAATCTCATAGAAGGGAGATGAGAAAGATGTATATCAACAAAGCACATTGCTTCTTTATTACTGTTTTAAAAGAAAGGGTGACTATGTGGGAAAGAAGCAGCAAAAGCAATTTATTTGGTTGTTTTAGGACAACTGAAAGCAAGCAATAATGGAAAGGGCAGTGGGCTTAGAGTTAGAGGATCTAGATTTGAATCTAACACTGCAGTTTTATCATCTCCAAGTCCTGAAAGCTGATGCTTAACTTCTACGAGTCTCTGTTATCTCCGTGGTTAAATAAAAAGGGAGAAAGGGACTTAGACTAGCTCTAGAGACTGCCTTTGTATATACCTTCCCATCTAAAAGGAAGCCTTTCCTTATCCATCTAGGATAAACATAAACACACAAGTCAATTGACATGATGACTTGAGGGAATCTCTAAAGGGTCTCTGTAATATTTCTGCTAGCCTGGGACTTATCTTAAGTAGTTACTGGTTCCAAAAATCTCTTTTGTAACCTCATTGCTTGCTGAACTCTTCATATTTTTATTAATTGTTCATAAATAATCATTCATGCATACAAGCAAAATACATAATTGATCCCTGGATATGTTTCTTTTGCATTTCTTTTATAGCCACCAACCTTATTACAAAGATCAAATCTTTTCATATTTTCTTATTTCACCTGAAATTGCAGTTCTGAATAAAAATATTTATCATTTACAGTGGAAAACAAATAACTATTTTTGCCTATAATTTTAAATCAGCCCATGGGGATTATAGGAATTAAAATTATTTTTTGACAGTATACGTTTTCTTTTTGAATGGAAGCATGCTGTTAACTTGATAATCTGTGGCAGAGACTGTAGGTTTGGTATTTGTAGGCACTTCAGAGATACATCCATATTTGGTAATTATACAATATCTGAACTTTTGTTTTCCCAGAGGAACTTGTTTCACTAAGTGGAATTTATTAATTTACATACCTTCTTTCTCTATTTTTCAGCCTTTGCAACTGGACTGTGACCTTTGTGCCATAGTGTCAAACTCAGGTCAGATGGTTGGCCAGAAGGTAGGAAATGAGATAGATCGATCCTCCTGCATTTGGAGAATGAACAATGCCCCCACCAAGGGGTATGAAGAAGATGTTGGCCACATGACCATGATTCGAGTTGTGTCCCATACCAGCGTTCCTCTTTTGCTAAAAAACCCTGATTATTTTTTCAAGGAAGCGAATGCTACTATTTATGTTATTTGGGGCCCTTTCCGCAATATGAGGAAAGATGGCAATGGCATCGTTTACAACATGTTGAAAAAGACAGTTGATATCTATCCGAATGCTCAAATATATGTGACCACAGAGAAGCGCATGAGTTACTGTGATGGAGTTTTTAAGAAGGAAACTGGAAAAGACAGGTGAGTCTTCTCTGAAGCAGCTTTTTTGTCTTTTATTATCTTTTATGCTATATCTTTGCTGATTCCTTTTGCAAGATGTAAAATAAACAGTTATTTTTTAAGCCGATTGTTATATGTTCTGACTATTATGATTACTTGATAAGCCAGCCTGAGGTCTCATGTATTCCACCTATGCTACCTCCTGTTCTTTCCATTCTGATTGGTTTGAGTCTCCAAGAAATATTGGATACTTCCCCAAGGTATCTTTTGATTTTTTCTTATTTTGTTCCATTTCCTATTGATTAAGTTGGATTTCAGCTGAAAGAGGAAGCCTAAACATTTCTGTTTCAAAACCTAGTAATGGTAAGGAACTTTAGGATTATGCATTAGTCTAAACTCCTCTGGGAATTTTGCCAAAATTTTACCTGAGACCACAAACAGAACAGGCTATTGATTCTCCAATAAGATCGTGTAGCTTTTTGCATGCAAATAGGCACTGTGATCCTGAACATCATAACTTGGTGTCTGACTTGTTTAGCAGAATACCATATTGAAATTATATGTCACTTAAAATCATTAGCAGTGGAATTCTTTGAAATAAATGAGTTATAAATACCATTCATTCAATTATCCAAAAACCAATTTGCATTTTTTATTACATCCATATTTTTTGTGTAGCATTCTGTAAACTACACTTCCCACTTTGTTCCCTTGAAGCCTGATTGCTTCATTCTTTCCCCTCCCCTTCCTTGTCCTATGTCCTCTGTTTGCTCCATTTCCAGCTCCCTCATCTCTCCTGTAATTGGATTGTGTGCCATTTTTTCTTCCTTTTTAGAAAGATAACTATAAAATAGAGAAAACAGGAATTACAAATCAATATTGGTTCTTATATCTAGCACTAATAAAGAACTGCTAAAGGAAGATATTGAAACCAATAGCTAAAGTTTTAAATTATCTGTGAATTTTGCTTATTTGTGCAATATCATGGTTAAATTGAGCATCTGCTATAGTTCCAATATTAGCATTCCAATTTATTCAAAGTGTATGTATTTCACTATACAATATTATCAAATCTAAGCTTTTAACTGTATTGAGATATGTGCTTAGGGGGGTGCAGTTTCTGATATCTCTGGATGTCATTTGAATGCTGATGATTATTTAAAAATCTTAGGTGGATCAACTCTCCTTTGGTAATGTGGGTTGATCTGAATTTAACATTTTGTACTTCTGAGTGCCAAAAATATACAGCTTCATATGAAATACAAGACAGAAATAGCCATGAAATACTAGTTCCTCCGACTATATGACTTAGTAGGAAGAATCCCAAAGGTGAGATTTGAGTCAATGTAGCATAAACTGTCCAAAATGACAGGCAGTAGAGATGAAAGGAATAGGTATGGCACTTCAAAGAAATATGGTCATATGTCACACTATTCTATATAAATATGAAGCCTATTCACAAAGGGCTTTGGAAATTTCTTGTCTCTCATTAGCCCAGAGCATTGCAATTAATGAGATGTATTTGGCTTTTCATTAGAGTTAACCCTCAAGATATCACCCAGACATAACTATAAGCCCTAGAGTCATTTGGCGGCAGGGGGAGGGGTATCAGAGAAGAGCTTTGCATGCTGTTGGTTCATGTTTTTATGTGTTTATTTCACATTGACTTTCGTCATGAGCTTTCATGGAGACAACACCATCAATATTTGTAAATTGTAAAAGAACTGAGAGAGAATAGCTTTGGGAGATCATTTTCTTACTGGCCATGATGAAGAAAGCTGTATAGTAGGAAAATTACTGGTAATTTTACTCAGTTGATAAAGTTAATTTGCTGGGTGTCATTCGATTGGTAGAGTTACCAAAATGAGAGTTGAAGAAACCGAAATATGGTTTCAGTTTATGGTGCATTCTTATGTTTCTCACTGAGTCTATTTCTGTCTGGTTACTTCACTGAGTACTCCAACCAGACAAGAGAAGACAACTATGCTAGTGTTTTAGAAATGGACAGAACGGGTGATTTAAGTAGAGCCTGGTTGGATAACAAAATGTTGACCAAAATGACCTCAGAAGCTGCTGTTCCCAGTCTATATCCTAATGACACCTATGTTAAAGACTTTTCTTGTCTAAGAATTTCCCATGGCAATCTGATATTCATTGTCAAATTTCAAACTAGAATATATTATTCAACTTTTCATGAAGGAAAATGTCAAACTTATAAAGTAGAGACACTAGTGGTATAATGAGCCTCTGTATAACCACCACTTAGCTTGAATAATTATAAATCCATGACCAGTATGGTTTCATCTATACCCCTACACACTTTCTCTCTCACCAAAGATTATGTTGAAACAAATCTCAGATATCATATAATTTTATTTATAAATATTTTGGTGTATATCTCTAAAAGATAAGGATTCTTAAAATTAATACAATACCATTCTTCTACATAAAAATCAACAATTCTGCCATAATATCATTATATATTTAGTTTTCAAATTTCCCAATTGTCTCATTGGTATATTTTTCATAGTTTGTTTTAATTAGGATTAGCATAAGGTTCATACATACTAATTGATTGATATGTGTCTTATATTTCTCCTAACCTGTATAGCTACTTCCCTGTCTCTCCTTCTCTATTCTGTCTCCTTCTCTATCTGTTGTTGAAGAAACCTAGGCATTAGTTGTATAGAGTTTTCCACAATCTAGATTTGTTAATCACATTCCCATGTTCTTTCTTTTTCTTCTACACTGATATTTGTGTATTGAGGCTTGGTTGGAATCAGGTTTTTTTTGTTTTGTTTTGTTTTGTTTTTTTTGCCAAAACCATTAGGTGGTTCTTCTCTCAGGAGAAATACTCTCTAATTTTCTATTTTTTATGTTAGATACCATTAATGATTATTTGCCAGATTAAATAATTTATTAGGATTGCACAATGGTGCTATTTCATCATATCCTTTTTATTCATTAGCTGATATACTTTATTAAGAGTAATTTACCCTCTTGTTCATTTGGTTACTAGGAGATAAAAACCAATACTCTTCTCCTCTTTCTTTACCAGTTTTAATGTACTACTTTCCTCGCATTCTCTATAGGTGACCAGTATTATTGATATTTACATATTAGCTTACAGACTTAAACATACTTGAAGTATTTTAATTTATTAAAATTATACCCTTATGCTCAGATTGTCCTATTTTGGCCTATGGGAACCTCTTCAAATTGGCTTTGAGTCCTTTTGACATGCCCTTAGTAGCCTTTGATAGCTTCTTTGTTTCCTAGTATTATGGGATGTTTCAGGCTTTTGTTGTACGTATTCCGAGGCAGACCTGCATTCAGACATTTCTCCAAAGAACGTCAGTTTCTTTTAGTAGTTAAGAGAGCATAATATTAGCACCATGGCTGCTCATTGCTACTGGGTTGGTCTTTGTTTCTTGGGCTTTACAGTAGACAGAGCTAGCATATAAACAATATATACTGTGTATATTGTTTAAAGATAAAATCATTATGAGTTCAAACCGAAACTTGCAATTCAAATCCAGGGCTAATAGGTTTTAAGTTGACATCCTCTATTCTACATCTGTTCCTTCTTTTTACCATGCTGACAATCACAGGTCTCAGAGATTTCAATGTACTTATTCATCTGCTTTATTCCACAACACATACACACACACAGACACACACACACACACACACACACACACACTAATCTTAGAGTAAGAATAACAGCACAACAAGCAATATAATTATGTAAACACTTTAAGGATATTTTGCATCAAAGAACATTTGAATGGCAAGCATTTGTGTGGATCTGTGCTCACAAAGTATATGTTGGTTATAGTCTCCAAAAAAGTTTTTGACATTTTTTTCCTAAGTAAATAGGAGTGAATTCAGTGGTATACATCACTGCAGGCATGAGGAAATGGAGAATAAGGGGTGTCCATTTAATTCTGCTTTAATTGTAAAGCTATTTTGTTTGATTTGCCTGTACTTATTAGAACTTTTTAGCAAGTACTTATTTTCATTATCAAGTTTTTAACATAGAGACAATGTCATCATTATTATATATAATTTATAGAATTAAAAAAATATGTCACTAGTAGTTAAAGTGATTCATGATAGGAAAATGATTACATGGAGTTCCTCAAAGAAAACTTTGCTTCTCAGCTTGCTTCTTAAAATTGTAAAAATACTTTAAATAAATATATAGCCTTTCCATTTAAGGTGGGCATGTTTTCACTTTTCTAAGTATTGTGGAGTTTTGTTTTTTGTTTGTTTGTTTGTTTGTTCGTTTTTTTTTTTTTGTTTTTTTTTTTGAGATGGAGTCTCACTCTGTCACCCAGGCTGGAGTGCAGTAGTGTGGTCTCTGCTCATTGCAACCTCTGCCTCCCAGGTTCAAGCGATTCCTCTGCCTCAACCTCCTGAGTACCTGGGACTACAGGCATGCACCACCATGCCTGGTTAATTTTTGTATTTTTAGTAGAGATGGGGTTTCACCATATTGGCCAGGCTAGTCCCGAACTCCTGACCTCGTGATCCACCTGCCTTGGGCTTCCAAAGTGTTGGGATTACAGGTGTGAGCCACCACGCCCAGCCAGCATTGTATTTTTTGTCTTAAGGAATTCCTCACTGAGGAAACATGAAGCAGTAGAAGAAATATGTATATCATTCAAATGTCTTAGAATAAGTTTAGGCCAACTCACAAGCATATTGGAATACCTTTTTTGAAGCAAATGGAATTTAATTTGCCTTTTTTTTAGTTACTGTCTAAAATTATTTGGCTTGTCAATTAGAGAGGGTGACCTTGTGGGAAAGGCTAAGAGAGCAGAAAGAGAAGGCTGCTTTCCCTTTCTGTCTATATCTTCTGGGACCCAGTTTTTTTTTCTTTTTGTTTATTTTTTCTTTTTTAATTCTAGGTTCATTAGTTAGTGGTCACTTTTAGATTGTCACCTACCAAATATACTTCTGGAAAACAAGTATTGTGAATTCTACAGAACTTTCATTTCTTCCAGAAATCTTTGAAA